CGTGGGCACCGCCGGGGGATGCTGTGCACACCCTGCGGGGCGCTGGGGGATGTGGATGGACACTCCTTGCAGTGCTGGGGATGCTGCGTGCGCCCTGAGCGGTGCTGGGTGTACCCTGAGCGATGCTGGGTGTACCCTGAGCGGTGCTGGGGTACCCTGAGCGATGCTGGGGGTACGTGCTCGGGGTGCTGGGGGTACCCTGAGCGGTGCTGGGGGTACGTGCTCGGGGTGCTGGGGTACCCTGAGCGGTGCTGGGGGTACGTGCTCGGGGTGCTGGGGGATGCTGTGCACTCAGCCAGCGCCGCTGGTGAACACTGCGGGGAGTTTTATCACCCGGGGTGCGGTGAACTCACTGAAATCCATCTGGGAGCAGTTCACAGCCTCCATCCCATCATTTCTCTGGGGGGACTGAGAAAACGGGGAGCTCCTTGGGAGGGGAATTAGTGGAGCCTCTTTGTGCTCAGAGGGGAGGGATCCGGACTCTCCCTGCCAGTGGGATGCGGTGGAGGTTTCTGCTAGACTTGGCTGATCAGCCCGTGTGTTATTATCTGCCCTCGGAAATGGCTAACGCAGAGACTATTGGAAATGTACCGCCAAAGTTATTTTTGTGCTTGGGCTTTCAGAAGTGCTGTCTGCAAATCTCCGTAAAGGAAATTCCTGGCATTGTATAGGGCTAATCAGAAATACTGCTTCACCACCAGGTTACGCTGCTTATAGGGTGTCTTTCAGTCACTCCTCCAGTGTACCCTTACCCTGTTTGTCTGTGTAAAAAAAATATTGCTCTGAGTAGCAGGTGACTTACTGGATCTTTTGGACACAGAGCCTTAAAAGACAGCAGGATGGGGTTCTTATTTAAAATTCTTGTGTTTAAAATTCAAAGCAGCCGGGTCCATTCTGCACAGAGCGAAATAAGAAATACCCTGTTGGAAGAAACCAGTTTTTATTCCCCTAGTAGGGAGGGACCAGAAACCTCTGCGCTCTCTAGAAAGCTTCTTGGTTGGCAGATTTTGGAAGTGTTGGCCAGTTTCCTCGAGGTTCAGGGTATCCAAAGTGTCCTTGTTTGGACCTTGAGGTGTAGGCTGTCCTTGTCCTGGCTGCGCAGGCAGAGAACGGGAGGTTTGCTAACTGCTGGTGACCTGTGCTCAGCTGTTAGGTGACTATGACAAGGTGAAGGCAGTGTCCGAAGGCTCCGACTGCCGGTGCAAGTGCCTGGTCAGACCCCTGGGCCGTGGTGCCTGCCAAAGGATTAACGAAGGCGCTTTCAAAGCAGAGGATTTTTACACCGTGGAAACCATCACGTCAGGACCCAGCTGCAAGTGTGCGTGCGTGGCTCCCCCCTCGGCACTCAACCCCTGCGAGGGGGACTTCAGGCTGAAGAAGCTGCGGGAGGCAGAGAGCAGCGACCTGAAGGTAGGAGAGCAGCTTGAGCTCAGGACTCTTTGGGGATGTGGAGATCTGAAGCTTTGTCTTTTGGAGCTTTTTCTAAAAAAACGCTCTTTCCTAAACCTTTTTCCTAAACCATCTCTTAGTTATGTTTATATCTGCATGTTTGATATAAAAATCAAGGTCAGTTTAAGGGACTGATTCAAGCAGCTGCAGTTGATGATTCATTCAGTTCATCCCATGCTGCCTGGGGTCCACTGTGGCTGCCTGTGCTGGAAGCCCATGAGGGACTGGGCTGCTCCTTGCCCTTTGTCCAGCTCCAAGTGCCCCTGGGGGACAGCTCTCCTCCGCTCAGCAGCTGCCAGCTCTTTTTCCTGTCACAGAGAGGGACTCCCAAGGACCCATGCAAAAAAGCTGTTTTGGCTTCCATGGGCCAAAAGCTGCTGATGCGTCAGCATGAGGGTGTGTTGCACATCTGGCTGATGGCAGGATGGGTTTGTTGTTTTAGATGCTGACACTTCTATAGTGTTCAGTATTTTATCTCTCTAGTAATATGTACCTCTTTCCCAAGTGTGACAGTGTTTGTTCCAAGTATTCCTGACTTTTACTGGATGCTTGCTTTTGCTGGTGTACTAGCTGGCAGCAGACCCTGCTGAGTTCTCCAGTTTGCTACCAGAGTAGGGCAGCAGAAAGTGCCATTGGCTTGGTCCAGCCCTGGGGAATCCTCGGAGCAGAAGGCTGAGTGCTGGTGGCACTGGTGTGGGCAGCAATGGGATGTACCCTGGGGCAGCACTGCTAGAGCCACCTCCGGTGCGAAGGCAAGCAACGTGGAAGGCGTTGCGAGGCAGCCTGCCACCAAGGCCACCACGATGGGCTTGCTCTAATTAATTTGGAGCTTGGGATGTGTTTCATCTTGTCCAACTGCAGACAGTTAGCAGCTTCTTGTCTAAGCGCCCCTGCAGCTAGGGAAGATAAACAGGCACAGGCAGACAATCCATCATTTCAGGGGAGGAGTAGTCCCAGTCTGGAGTTGTTTGGTGGTCCCTCATCTGAGGAGAAGTCAAGATGTCCCACGTGGCCTTAGAAGAGGAGTTGTGAGCTCTTTGCGGTTAGGGGAGGGGACACACCCCGAGGTGACAGAGCCACCCCTGTGGTCCCTTGGCAGGAGGCAGGCAGAGCTCTTTCACCAGCAGCTCAGAGCTCTCTCCCTATCCTTTCTGGAGCCAGTCAGCCTCCAGGAGGAGCAGAGTGGTGTGGCTAGCTGCGCCCTTGGCTCCGGCTGCTCTTCCCACTGGGGAGCTGCTCACAGCCAGCTGTGGTGTGAAAGCCTGTCCTCTAGGAACTGGCCCTGGCTCCCCTGCTCATTTTGCAAGGATTTGCGGCCAAGCGATTTCACAAGGTTTATCCAAACATACACAGGCAGGGGTTTTCTTTGCCGCGGAAGTCCATCCCCAGGAGCTGTGAAGCAGCTTTGCTTTCTCACTGCACACAGCCCCTCCTGTGGGCAGGCTCGCTGGGAACAGCCACCTCTTGTAGGAGAAGCCAGGAAGCAAAAGAGGACACAGCTTCAGTTCTTATGCAACTCATGAAGAGCAGCTCCCACACTCATTGGCAGGGAGCTGGGTCAGGCCACCTCACAGCTCCAAGCAGCCCCAGGGGTATTGCTCTCTTTGCGGGTCTAATGGGCATCACTCTTGCCCAGTCCAGCACTGGGAAGTGCACAGGGTCATGCTCTATATACATTGTGTTTTACCAGGCTTTCTTATGCTCTGACTCAAAAGTCCTGGGTACTTCACGTGTGAGAGCCATGGGAAGTTCCATCCCTTATGATGGGTTTGCTGGAGGATGCATCCCTGAGGGAACAGTGAGAAAGAGTGATAAAGCCAGAGAGAGGAATCCAGGTAGCAGGAACATACCCCAGGCACTCCAATGCAGTAGAATGGCTGTGCTAGGCATCCCAGATGAAGGTTTCAGTCCCATCTGTGCCTTTAATAAGGTCCCTTGGGAATTCATGGGCCATCAAACCAGTGAGAGCCAAAGCCCATGGTGGGTGAAGGGAAGGAAGCAGTGAGTTGGTAGGAACATCAGTGTGGTCTTTCAGGGAGGGTCGACGTGATTTGACAAGGAGTAGCTTAATCAAAGATCTATTTTTGTAAAATGGCAACATCCTGCTCCTCTGCTTTGTAGACAGAGCATATTCTAGGGGTCTCGAGTGCAGAGTCAGTGCAAGGAGTCTGTGTTCAGGGTGATTTGGAAGGAGGTTAATAAAGTCTGCAACCTTTGTGCATTGATGGAAATTATCCAGCCTGGAGGGAAAGCGCATGTCTCCAGTGGCTGTCTGGCAGGCTGTGTGCATTGTATTGGTCATCTCCATCCAGCTCTCAGTGGAAAGTGGCTGCATAGTCATAAAACAGTTCTTGTCTCTTAATGTTGCCATTTTATCTGGCCCCAAAAAATCTTTCCTTTGCTGTCAGCTCCACAGGGAGACTGCAGAGGCCGGGGTGGAAACTCTAAGTGCTGCCAGCAGTGCTGCCTGTGATTCTCCCATGTTTATGAAGCTCTGTTGACCAGTTTGTAGCTAGGAGAAAATCTCACTGCCCTGTAGTAATTCCCATGCCTTGAAAACCCTTCTCAGCCATCAGGGCTGTAAGCTCTGCAGCACCATGATGGACATGTGGTGACACATGGGACTGGGAGAGAGGAGGCATGAGTGGAAGCCACAGTAGGGAATGACCCAGGAGTCCTCACCAACCTTGCCATGCTCAGCACTGTACTCTGTGAAGGAGCATCAGGAATCAAACAAAATGCAGAACAAGGGTATTGCTATCCAGGTCCTCAGGACTGGTGAGCAAGGACTGATGCTTAGCATCAGCTGTCATGGGGGCAACAACCCTTCCCGCTGCAGGGTACGGGTGAGTTCAGGGTCTCTCTCAAGTGGGTGGTTGCAGGAGAGGACAGCATCCCTCTGATGAAGTTGTTCTCCAGGAATCAAACTGTTACTAGGCTGGCACTGTATTTGTGTTTCTTCACTCTTGCATTTGGGAATATTGTAAAATTTTTAACAGGTTTCTTCTTGTTCCAGGAAAAAAAAAAAGCATGGGATGGCACGAACTCAGAGTCTGATCTCAAACTCACTTTTATTTGAGCTGCCTTTCTCTTGTTGCCTCTTTTGCTGGCAGTCACATCACTGGTGGAGTAGCTAAGCCTTTGGGCTTGCAGGAGAGTCTGCTTAGAGCTGGCAGAGAGCTGCTTCTCCTTGCTCTGCTACTAACCTCAGCACCCAGAATGCACTCCTGAAGCCCTTAAGCTCTGGTGGAGGTGGTGTGCATTGCTCTGCATGCCACGCTCTGACCAGGGCAGCAATGCAGAAGGGAAGGGAAAACTTGCTTTTTAATAAACTTCTTGCAGTTGAGTGGGTGCATTGCCTTTGACTTTTTGGCTGAGAAAACCTCACAGGGTACATTATAGCAAGTGCCTTTTCCTGATGGTGTGCTCCCTTTGCTTGCAGCTGTCGTCCATCGTCGAGATGCTGGAAAGTGCCTTTTATGGCTTAGACCTTCTGAAGCTGCACTCGGTCACAACCAAACTGGTGGGTCGGGTGGAAAAGTTGGAAGAGGTAAGAGGAGTCCTGCTCTCCTTTGAGGTTGTTGCCTGTGGTGGGACTTGCCTCTAGTCAAGTTTGTGGTACCTTTGGTGTGTTCAGAGCCTTGTTGCTTTTGGAACAAATGTTAACTATTTGGCTGAAATTAACCAGACCAGATTAGGGTGTCTGAACTAGACTAGACTAGACTCCCCACAGGCAGTGTCCAGTGCATCACCATCTCATCAGCCCTGCCTGACCCTCTCCAGCTCCCCCATCCCTCAGGGCCAAAACTGGGTGTAGGATCCCAACCGTGGTCTCACCAGAAGCAGCATCCCCTTGGGGTCAGAAGGGCTTGCTGCTAAGTTTTTCCTCTTCTCAGTTTTACATCTGTGCTGCTGTGATGGTTGCTCTCCTTTTGTGCTGTTTGATGTGGGGGCAAGAGGTTCAGTGCTGGTGCTGGGGTACACTGCAGGGTCTATGGGAAGCCAAGGAGCTCAGATTCGTGAAGGACCAAGTTACCTCTTGGCTTGCCTTTAAAAAGAGCAGAACCCTCAACTTTCCATTTTTTTTTTAGAGCAGACTTCCAGTGAAATAATTTTCACTTCCATACAGTTTAAAATTTCTTTGGCTAGCACAGCATAGGGTTTGCAGTTTGTTGAGCTGTGCTCAGCTATGTAGCAACAGGTTGCCAGACAAAATACTGGAGTTTTCTCCCGTGGTCCATATCTGGGACAGTAATTCCACATTCTTGTAGGAGTGAAGCAGTCCTGTTTGTCTCCAGCCAGAAGCTGAGAGGTGATGATTTATAAAGCCAAAATTCCACTTGCAGAGAGTTTTGGGAAGGCACAACGTGCTCCATCCCGGGGTCAGGAAGGAGACAGCTGAGAGGAGCATGTTGCCTGGAGGGTTCTGGATTTCCAAGCACAGTAATTGACCCAAAAAAGGGAAAAGGGGTTTTGAGGTCTAAAAATAACAAAGCACCAATGTTCCTGTTTGCAATCCCACCCTCTTCCTGTGGTTTAGTGTGTTCTCCAGTTGTTCCTCGGGTTTGCCAAGGGATTACTTCACGTGGGATTATCACTGTACTGCTTCAGTACCAAAGTGGCCCTGCCTACCAGCCAGTTCCTGCACAGGGGGTTCAGAGCCAGCAGTGCTGATGGCACTTTGGGTACACGGGGTGACCTTGCAGCCTGGCTGCTCTGCTCACAGCCCATTGCTGGGAGGCAGATGGGCAGAAAGCTTGGTCTGGCTGAAGTAGTTTGGCTAGAGATCGAGTGGTAAAGGTGTAAGAGTGGGGAATTCACAGGCTGGGGTCTTTCATTTCTCAGGAGCTGGGCTGCAGGATCATGTGAAAACAGCTGAAGCTGCCTGCAGGCACTTGGCTGGGATGGAGAGAGACAGGAGAGGTCTGGGTTAGATGGATTCCCAGTGCTCTGGGGCAGGACTGAGCTGATGCAGGGAGTGCAGGCAGCAGGTGTGAAACGCCTCCCACTGCTGGCTTAGCATGAAATTCCTGTTGAGAGGAGGAGGAGGATGATCACACGCCGCATTGGACACGGGGTCTGACACAACGGACAGCTGAGATGCTGAACCAGAGCCTGGCATGGCTTCAAAGCTTCACCCTCCCAGGCGGGTGTGCTTTTGGCAGCTGCACCCAGGCCAAACAGCTGAGCCTCCAGCAGCATCACAGGCCAGGCTTTGGTGGTGCCTCCCCACTCAAGGGGAGGCAGATTTAATTCCTAAGCAAGTCATAAGCCAAACATTACACAGAAGAAGTGATAAGGGCACGAGACTGTTGGAATCAGTCCTCCTCTTCAAAGGAGAATGGTGTCTAAAGCTGCTCCCGCTCTGCTTCTAGGAGAGCATCATGAGATCCCCTGTTCCTCTGCTGACTGCAGCAAAACACTTACTGAAAAGTCCCTGCATCATTTGACTCAGTCTCAAAATTGCCTGGTAAATCTGTGGTGATTCCTGAGTAAGGACTGGGATTTCAGATGCCTGTGGAGGGGGTTGAGGGTTAACTGAGCTCAGGATGGTGTTTTTGCAGAGGTTAGAAGGTTTTATGAGTAGTTTCCAGTATCACAAGGTATTTTAGACAAATGGTGTTGGCAAAGGGAAGGAACCCCCAAATTCTTGGTCCACAGAGCTAGGCAGCTCCTCTGCTTTGTCTTTATCTCACAGCTGTCACATCAGCTGGCAGTTTTGAGGTCACAGATGGAGGTCATGGTGGGTTTTAGGAGAAATTAATGGCAAGACAGATTGAAAGTGAAGGATTAGTGTTACCACCCCCAGTCTCTGTGCAAAACTACTTTGATTGATATGCCACCTATTCTAAGCAGTTGCTGTTTGAGATGTAGAAGCCCGAGGAGCAATGAGCAGAGACTGCAACAACCTGTTGGGTACAGGCTGTGCCTGTGGTTGGGGAACTGAAAAGGGCAAAGGGGTTTGTCTGCCTAATGAGCTGCAGCCAGCCCCAGCTCCCTCCTGGTCACAGGACAGCTCTCGAGTGTCACTGGCTCTTATCCTGTCCCCAGATTCTCACTCTCTTCTGTGGGAGTGGAGGGTTATGGGGAGGAGCAGTCTTGAGTGTAAGCACTGTGTGGCCAAGCAGCAGGGCAGGACCAAGAGAGCAGAAACCAGACCATTGGGATGCCAACCTCCAGGGTGTCCCTTGGACCAGCCAGGATGGGATCCTGCTAGGGAACTGGGATTAATAAATGGGAGGTGAACTTGCTGCCACAGAACAAGGATGCCAGGCTGAGACTTTAGGTGGTTTAGCTTGTGTTTTCCTCTTCCTTTGGTGAGCTGGTGAGTGTGGCTGGAGATGGGTGTTGAAGAACCTCAAGGCCACTCTCCCACTCCAGGGAGACCTGTGGCAAAGAGTGGATCTGGGATGTGCACACCAGGGATGGGGTTTCTGGATCCCACTGGGCATCTTGTTAGCAGCTGAAGTGCCCAGCTCCATGGAGAATCCCAGCTGTGAGCCCTGGATGGTAGCACCGAGCTTGCTGGCTCCTGGGCTGTGATTTGGGGACTGTGGAGTACTCCTTGGCTTTAAGTGGGGTATAAAGTCTCCTCTCTTACTTTTCTAGGGCATGTCCAGGAACTTCACACAGGATGGCCAGCGGGCAGGAGCCAGTGGGGAGGAGAGTCTGCAGGATGCCCCCAGCAGGGACAGGGAGAACTGCTCCAGGCTCCTCACCAACAGCCTCACCGACATTGAGAGCTCCCTGCAGCGAGACGCTGAGGCTGCCTACACACACACAGAGGTACAGCTGCCCAAGCATGGCTCAGTGTCACTGGCCCTAAGCCAGTCCCGAGGGTGTCTCCTGGATGTGGCTCCTGGCTGGCCACCTGGCCCTGGGTGATTTTCTTGTCTCCAGTGACCCTGTTTCTGTGCCTCCAATTCTAGCCTGTTTCTCCATGCACAGCCCAGCTGCTGCTGGGATGGGGTGTAGGTGGGAGCAGAGGGAGGTTGCTCCCTGGGCCTCCCCCCTTCCCACAGGGTTGTTGGTTTTCGAGGTCAGCGGCGGCTGAGCTGCTCGGAAAGTGTGATGTCATTGCGGGGCCGGCTGGGAAGCGCTGGGAAACTCACAGCCTTTGATTAGCAGGGCTTGGGGCTCGGTGGAGGGACAGCCTGTCGCCTCCCTCACAATTACCCCTGCACAGCCAGGCCCTGCCCCGGGCAGAGGCTTGGGCATCCCACTGGCTCTGGCACCCAGCCCCAGACTGTGGGGGTCCCCATGGGGTCTGCCCAGTGTGGGGACATCTCTGCCTGGGGCAGCAGTTTCTGTGCAGCCTCTGAGAGGGGCGAGAGGGGTGTTTCGGCCAAAGGACTGTCCTTGGTGTCCTGATGCTCTTGGTACTTTGGTGGTGCAATCTAGCATGGTCTCAAGCTCCTCTGATCCCTGCTGGTGGCTCCTGGAGCATCTTTCCCTCACCCCAGTGTCCCTTTGCAGGGCAAATTACAGAATTTCATGCTCAAACAGGGGTACTCAGCTCCTGAGGGTGACAACAGCCTGCACTTGTGTCCCCCCTGGCACCTAGAGCAGATGCTGTGGGTCCTGCGTGGGGATGGGCTCCCCAAGCCCTAGTGGGGAGAAGGATGAGGTCCCACTCCTGCACTGTGTGTTGGCAGGTGTGGAAATGACCCCAGCCATGCTGTGCCAGTGCACTCTGCCCCAGGGAGAGCTGTGCCCTGAGCAGGGTGTGCCCAGCCATGCTCCCAGCTCCACTCCTGCTGCTCCCCAGGCTGTAAGCTGAACAGCTGCTGCCTGCTGGAGCAGAGCCAGCCCTGGCCAGGCAGGGGAGCAGAGCGTGGGGCTTTTATTACCCTGAGTGACCTCATTTCCCAATATTCCCCTTTTCTTGCTGTTAATTGCAGCAGGGCCATGAAGGAACCCTGGGCCTGTCTTCTCAGCCAAATGGGCACTGCTTCAACCTTTGGGTTAGCTTTCTGATTTTCTTTAATGAGATGAAATCCTTCAGACATGAGCTGTGGCAGCTGGTCCCTGCCCCAGAGGAGTTCTTGGTCCCTGCCTCGGGGGGGTTCCCAGTCCTACGGGGAAGATGCCTTCATCCTCTCTGCCCTAAGCTTGGTGCACATTGCATGCTCTCTACAGATCAGCTGCTGGCACCAGTCCCTGGCATGGCAAGGGAGTGGGCCCCACTCTGCCCACCTGTCCTGCATCCCACAGCTTGTGCCTTATGGATCACTGAGTCCTGGAATTGCAGCATGGCAGCAAGGAATAATATGCAGGAGCAGTGCTGGTCCACCATGCTGCTGTCTCCAGGAGGGTTTCCCATGGCAGAAGGGACTGAGGGTGACCCTCAGGAAAGAGGCAACACGGAGCCTCCTACCCAGTGCAGGGCTGGCCAGCCTGACCTACTCTGTCCCCAAAAAGTGGCATTTCTGGCCCATCCAGTAACAACCTTCTGTGTCTCTTTCAGGGAAAATATGAAGAAAGATTCCTGAAAGATGAAACCATCTCCCAGCAGATCAACTCTGTTGAGTCCCTCCCGGAGCTGCACCTCTCTCCAGAGGACGAGAAGCCTGAGCAGCTCTTGCAGAGGAAGCTGCAGGTGAGGGGCAGGCCTCCTTCCAAGCCCACCATTGTCCGAGGGGTCACCTACTACAAAGCCCAGTCCACCGAGTCGGAGAACGACATCGAGGAACAACGTGAGTTGGGTGTGCAGCTGTGTCCACCCCCAAGTTCTGCCTCATTCCCTGGGAATGTGTGGGCAAAGCACATGGGAGCAGCAAGGGAAGGAGGGCTTAGAGGCAGGAGGAGGTGGGAACACCAGTATCTCACCACTGTGCAGCCTCTGAGCCCTGTATGTGGAGCACCACCGCATTGTTATTCCGTGGAAAATCCCTGGTAGCTAAGGAAATAAGTCACTGCTTTGGTTTAAAACACCCAGCATCAACTCCTTTCTGAAAGTGAATGCAGGTTTATTACACATTACAGTTTCAAATCCTGATGTCATCCTGGGAGGTTTGTGCAGTGGTCAGCGAGGTGGAAGGCAGCTCGGAGCTCATGGCCCTGGCCATGGTGGGAGCAGGGACCAAGGCCCCAGGGCACAGGCCAAAGGGCAAGTGCCCTCTCTGCACACCAGCTCAGCAGTGAGGTCATCCAGCACAGCTGTGGGTGGGTTTGTGAGCTCCCAGAGATAAGGAGAAATAAAGGGTGTCCCTGGTGGCTGAGGAGTCCTGGTGGTCCCAGCATGCTGGGTGAGGCACCCGCTTTGGCATCCCAGGTTAGGAGGGTGGGATCTGACTGAGCATGCAGGTGGGTCTCTGTCCTGCCCCAGCTCTGGGAGCTGGCAGGATAGAATTGCTCTGTCACCTCCTGCTCTGCCCAGCCTGAAGTGGTGGATGTGGCTGGAATAGGGTCTCACTGACCTCCTAATGTGAGCACCATCAGCCTCTACAGTTCACAGAGCCCTTCTCTGACTGGAAGTGGAGAGGGAATGCAGGTGGGTTTAGTACAACACAGCCTGCAGAATCGGGCAGAGGATCAGAGTGGTGGGGCCCAGCGTGGAGGGGCCATAGGAGCCTTGCTCCCACTCCCTGTGGGGCTGACACCTGTGCCTGTGTTTGGCAGCTGATGAGCTGTTCAGCGGGGACAACACGGTGGACCTGCTGATTGAGGACCAGCTCCTGAGGCCGAGCAGCAGGGCAGGCAAGGGCGCGAGGAAACCATCCCCGGTGGGATGGCCACCCACCCCCGGCAGCATTCCCACCACCCTGCCAGCTGCTGACACTGCTGCCACGGTGCCACTGTCACCTGCCACAGCCACGGACCCCACGCCAGACCCCACTGCTGTCAGCTGGCTGACCCCCACCCCAGAGACCACGACTGCCCTGGCAGGGCTGATGGAGGAGGGGACCCCACAGCTACCGACAGCCTTGGCCAGCACAGTGGTGGCCACGGGCATGGAGAACCTGCCCACAGCCACTGCTGCTGGGACCTGGAGTGACATGGAGAGCAGCCCAGGAGCTTGGGGAGAGGCCAACACCCCTGCAACACCAGTCAATCCCACCATCCCTGCCACCCCGAAGGAGGGCCTGGAGGAGGAGGACATCAGGAACATCATTGGTGAGTGCCTGCAGGTCCTGCACTGATCCAGTGGTGCACATGGGGGCTGGCTCACACTCACATGTCCTGCTAAGCACAGCACACCTGGATTTGGTCACAGGTAGAAGGTGTCATGGAGATGGTGGCTGGACAGCACTTTACTGGGGTGCCAGGTTTACTTGCAGGTTAACTCTGGAACCTACTGTAGTCCTCTCCCAGTTTTAGGGGCTGAGCTGGGCAGGGCAAAAAGAGACCTCCTTGGACTGCTGCTGGGGCAGAGACATGGCTGAGGCTGTGGGGAGATGTTTGCAGGATCTGGGCAGTGCTGCTGAGCCTCATGAAGCTGTACCCAGGTTGAGATAGCAGGGAGTACCTGCTGGGTGGGCAAGGTGCTGGAGGGGGGTGATGCCTGCCCCAGCAGGAGCAGGGAGGGTGTGGACACCAGGACTCAGGCCTCACAAGCCTTTCTTTGCCCACGCAGGGCGCTGCAAGGACACGCTGTCCACCATCTCAGGGCCCACCACCCAGAACACCTATGGGCGCAACGAGGGAGCCTGGATGAAGGACCCCCTGGCCCAGGAGGAGCGGATCTATGTCACCAACTACTACTATGGAAACACACTGGTGGAGTTTAGGAACCTTGACAATTTCAAGCAAGGTGGGTTTGTGCTGTCATCTCCAATGCCTTGCCAGCTGTTGCACAACTAGTTCAAATAGCATCCTCATTCCCAGGGATGCTGCACCGTGTGGGGATGATCTGCCTAGGGAGTCTCCTCTCTTGGGTGACAGTATGTTGTGTGGGGTTCAGAGTGTGGGGCAGGTCAGGCTGTGGCTGGTGGCCAGGGATGGAGTGCAGACAGAGCTGGGGACAGAGGATACTTACAGCAGGGCCACTCACCCCAAAGCAGAGGGAGGGTCTCACCAGCAAGGTGTCTCTGCTCCACAGGTCGCTGGAGCAACTCCTACAAGCTCCCGTACAGCTGGATTGGGACAGGGCACGTTGTCTACAACGGCTCCTTCTACTACAACCGAGCCTTCACGCGCAACATCATCAAATACGACCTGAAGCAGCGCTACGTGGCCGCCTGGGCCATGCTGCACGACGTGGCCTACGAGGAGCGGTGGCGAGGCCACTCAGACGTGGACTTCGCTGTGGATGAGAACGGCCTGTGGGTCATCTACCCAGCCATCAACTATGAGGGCTTCAGCCAGGAGGTGATCGTGCTGAGCAAGCTGAACGCGGCCGACCTCAGCACCCAGAAGGAGACGACGTGGCGGACGGGGCTGCGGAAAAACTTCTACGGGAACTGCTTTGTCATCTGTGGGGTCCTGTATGCGGTCGACAGCTACAACAAGAGGAATGCCAACATCTCCTATGCCTTTGACACCCACACCAACACCCAGATCATCCCCAGGCTGCTCTTTGAGAATGAGTATGCCTACACCACGCAGATAGACTACAACCCCAAGGACCGTCTGCTCTATGCCTGGGACAATGGCCACCAAGTCACCTACCATGTCATCTTTGCCTACTGAGACCCCCCACCACAGTGGGGCACCACGAGCCAGGGGCCACCAGCACCTTTTATTATTATTTTTATTGTTATTATTGTTATTTTGTACAAATCGAAGAGTAAATGATGGGTATTGTTTCAAGCTGGTTTTTTTATGGTGGATTGTAGATCGATCCCCAGGCCAGAACCACCTGCTTTGTCTTTGGTGTATCTTTGCTTCTGATTTTCCCTCCTGAGGGGAAGGAGTTTCTCCTTGGAGAGGGCAGCCCCAGCTCTGCTGCCCGGGGAGGAGGTGGTGACCTAGACATGTTCTTCCTGATGAGGTTTTTAGCCGAAGATTATCAGCAGGACACCCCGAGCCAGTGCAAATCTGGTCTCTCTCTGCAGGCACTGAGTCCCAGTGGGATGCTGATGTCTGCCTGTCCTGGTGGAGCACCTGTGTGTCCCATGGGAATGTCCCATCTCAGGACCATCTTCCCAGCCAACGTCCAGCAGGCCCTTTGGAGAGCCTGCTGTCCAACAGGGCTGCAAGCTCAGCTCCAGCAGCCCCTGGTGCTGGCACTTATGCCGAGGACTGTCCCCTCCAGCTGGGGCTCTGCCCTTTGCAACCTGTTCTGGGGGGCCAGGCACACCCTGAGCCCTGGAGTGTGCTGGTGGCGGGAGGGGGATGCTGTAAATATGTGTAGATGGCTCTTCTTTGTTCATTTTTTAACCCAAAGTAGTCCCCCTTGTCATTTGCCCCTACCTGGGCAGAGAGCTGTGGGGCTGTGGGAGCCCTGGTGGCTGGGGGAGCTCTTGCTCTGATGCTCCATCTCCTACACTCCTTCTCACTGCCATGCTCGCCCTGGTCCTAACTCTTGTGAGCACTGGGATCCCCTCACAGAGGCACAGCCCTTGCCCTCCTGCCCACCAGCATCTTGTATTTACCTGCTGTCAGTAATAAAGGATCAAGTACCTTTCTTTGCAGCTATCCAGGACTTTCTTTGGCTGTGGTTCACCCTCTTGGGTGCATGGAAATGCATGTGGGTGTTTTGGGTGGATTTTGGTTGGTTTGGAGAGTGCCAGTTTACACACCAAATGGGGAGGGACCTCAGGGGGCTCTAGGCTGCTTGGGACTGGCACCAGGGCAGTGACATGGCCAGGTCCAGTCCTGAGAAGAGCTTGACTCTGTGATGCCTGTGGTTGCCCTCAGGTCACTCAGGTTGCAGTGAGACCCTCATAGCCTCCTCTTTGCCAAGCTCTGGTTGAGCAGCTTGTGTAGGATCTCCCTTCCCAGGAACAGGAGAGAGGTCTGGGTGCATGTGGCATGGGCAGTGCCAATGCTATACCGAGTGAGCCACATTGCAGCCCAAGAAATGGCAGACACAGCACAGACCTTCTAGTAATTTGCCAAAGGAGAACTATTAACAAGCACAATAATAACAAGTATTAATAATAAATAAAAGAAGGATTTTATTGCCTTCAGTTCTAGGGACACAGAACAGAATTACACAGGATAAGAGATGCTCTCCACCACCAAAGCCCATGGGTGCTGGCTGAGGATGTGGTGCTGCAGCCCAAGCCCCCAGCCCCTTTCAGCAGCCCTTCCCAACATCCTGGGCTGTGGCAAACCCACCCACCACCTCCAGATCCCCTCCCCAGCTCCCCGGCAGCAAACACCCTGGAGCCTGGAGCTGCTGGGGGAGCCGTGTGCTTCTGGCTGGGGCACCACCGGGGGTTTTATTTCTGACTATTGTGTGAGCTGGCCCACAGTCAGGTGGGGCCAGGGCCAGGAAAACTGGTGCAAGGAGCAAAGCCAAACCCCTCGCCGAGCGCGGCTGCCTCCCAGCAGCAGAGAGCACGGGGGGCCAGCGCAGCCTGCGCCGAGTACGTGGCAAAGGGAAAAGTTTTTCCATAGTGTTGCAAGGCAGATACTTCACAGGGGTGTATTGCTCCTCGTTCTCCTCCTCCTCACTGCCCCCTGAGCTGTTTGTCTTGCTGCAGGATTGACCTTTATTTCCTAACAGCCACGCAAGACAATTAAAACCCCCACACGAGCCAGTCAGCGCTCAGATAATGAAGGTAGCTGGCTGGTAAACTGAAGCCCATCATCTTCTGTATGAAATGCAAAGGGGCAAGAAAAAAAAAGTAACATGCTGAAGTCATTACGCAAGGCTGATGCTCTGTTGGCGTTTCATCCTGGCTGAGCACTGCAGTGTGCTGGAGTAGCTCGGCGACAATTAAAACCCCCACACGAGCCAGTCAGCGCTCAGATAATGAAGGTAGCTGGCTGGTAAACTGAAGCCCATCATCTTCTGTATGAAATGCAAAGGGGCAAGAAAAAAAAAGTAACATGCTGAAGTCATTACGCAAGGCTGATGCTCTGTTGGCGTTTCATCCTGGCTGAGCACTGCAGTGTGCTGGAGTAGCTCGGCCCAGCTCTGGCCTGGGGCTCAGGAGATGAACTGGGACCAGTGAACAGAGCTCCACAGCAGCTCTGGAGTGGCAGCAGTCAGCTGCAGCTCGGTGTTTGGAGGCAAACAGCATGCTCCCATGCTGCCTGGCGGGCGGCTGTCAGTGCTGGCGAGGCAGAGGGATGTGACTGTGGTTTCAGGAGGAAGGTGCTGTGGCTGTGCCACTGAACTGAAGTGCCCTTCTGACCCAGCAGGGCCAGTGCTGCTTCATAGGCTGTTGTGAGCAGTGAAAAGTATTAAATAGCACACACACAAAAAAAACCCAACCCACAAGCAAAAACCAGGGGAAAAAAAACATCAACCAAACCTAAAACTCAACTTTACAAACACATCTGCTGCATTAAATCACCTCCCTTGGGCCAAGCCCCAGCCCTCTGCCATGCAGCCACATGGGCTGGGGAAGACAGCAGCAGTGTGTGGGGCAGGGGGTATGAGGTGGGGTGTGCTCTGCCTCGGAGGACAGCCCAGGCCCCACATTGCTGTGACAGTGTGGGTTGTTCTGCTTGTAGTGCTTTGGGTCTAAGTGCAGGGTCCCATCACCTCGCTGTGAGGCTGAGCCTGGGTTGCCTCATGGCACCACTGCAACCTTGGGCAGCATCCCAGGGCTTCCCAGCAAGGGAGGCAGCACAGGCAGGGATCTGGGCAAGTGTGTGGGCTTGAGGAGGAATGAGGCTGTCTGGACAGGCCCAGCAGACACCCTAGCAGAGATGGGATGCTCATGCTCCTGCACCTGGAGTGCAGGGCCAGGGCTGGTGGCACTCAGCATGGGGTGTAGGACTGTGGCTCTCCCTGCAGCTGGGAGCCAGACACTGCTTCCTCCTGCTGCCCCACGTGCTGCAGGGAGAGAAGTCTGATCTCAAGCTTGGGCATCCACATAATGTCTCTAGGCACGACCCCAGAGCTCAACACCACACCTTAGAATGCAGCCTAACAGGGACAAAAAAACCCAAAAACAACCCACAATTTTGGACAGTGCATAAGTAGCAAGGACGGCCTGTCCCCCCCCTGTGCAGCCCTGGGCAGCAGCTGCTGATGCCAACACCAGGACTGCAGTGGTTTGCCTCACCTGCACCTCTGGCAACAGGCACTGCATGCTGCAAGAGTCCCCCAGGGTGTCCATGGCAAGGGGCCAGCTGAGCTGCATCATCCCCAGATGGGATGTGGCCACTGGGTATGGTCAGGCACAGGAATGGGCTAAGGGGGGGACTGCCCTGCTGTGCCAATGTGCCAGGAGCCCCAGGGACCTGCCAGGGTCAGTCTGCTGCCAGGCTCAGTCTGGCAGCAGGACCTGCTCCATGCTGGGTGTGTTGTGCCGCAGGAGCTACTGCAGGGATTCCACAATGGCCCTCAGGGCATGGGGTGTCTCTGGGACGGAGGGGGTTGAGCTGTAGAAGGTGTCGGTGTGATTTCTGCGCTGCTCTCGGAGGTATGGAGGGACAGATGAACTTTTGATGTGGAGTATCCTGGTGTCCATCACTTCACAGTCAATCTGCATCATCACCTCGTAATCCTGCCCATTGATCACATTCTCTGCAAAAGTAAGGATAAAAAAAAGGTTAGAGTCATCCTTGCAAGCTAGTGATCCAATAGCACCAAAAGCAGAGCTTTCTGGATCACTTTTTTGTACAGAGCAAGAGCTGGAGTAATGGGAACTCCCTCCCTTTTTGCAGCTCCACACATGGAGCTCCATCTCACACAATGTGGCCCAAAACTACTCATGACACCTCAAAGGACCCAGGCCACACCCAGCATGTGCAGTCACACCTAGAACTTAATGTAAGTCTTTTATTTTCCACTCCTTCATCCACACATAATTACTGATGGAGTTTGTGCTGCATAACATTTATTACAGAACTGTCGTTCTTGACCTATGGAAGTGTGGGGGTGACTGAAGACAAAGTTTATTTAAGACAGCTGAATGTTTCACTTTCTATGACCCTCTTGACACTGAGGCTCTAGAGGAATTTCTTCAGCAGATTATTAATAAAACCAGCTAAAATATGATCTCTCAAAAGAATTAGCTGTGCCTCACTACCATTCCTGACCTGGCTGTTGTACTTGTGTGACATGGTGACACTGGGCAAGGCCATAACCCTGAGAGACCTCTGGACACACGGAGACCTGGACCAGCACATGGAACTCTGGCTACAGCACCCTGGCGTGGCCCCAGACCTGACAGTCTGCTGCTGCAGAAGCTCCTGGGCTTACAGGCAGAGGCTGTGCACATGGCTAGCATCTGCTGCCTGGATTGGAAGGTGGGAGACTATTCCCTGCATAGACAGTGTGCCCAGGAATGCAAGAGCTGAGATCGGATTTCCAGGCACGACCAGTCCTTGCTTTCAGAGGCACAAGACTGCCATTGGCAGGGTTTTATTTCTGCTCTAAGGAGGATGGAAGATCACCTAATGGAAAGCGTATGGACTGGAGGAATGCAATATACATTACTAATTTTTACTGTTTTCCTGGATTAACTCTGACTCTGGATGACAGCTGACAACTGTGGCCGGACCCTCTTGTACCCCACGCCACCTGTAGAAGCCATTTGATAAAGTATGTCTGGTATAGTAATGAAAATCAGGAGCAAACCCTTGCTAAGGGGGCTGAGAGTCTGCAAGGCAAATCAAAGCTCCCACCTGCAAGAAATGAAAAGGAAAAAGCTCTGCATGTGCCACTGAGAGACCGAGGCCAGGAGCAGCTGTGCATGTCTCTGTGCTTCTGACCCAAAAACCCTGACAAGCACCTCGTCCCTCCTGGATGCTGTGCTGCTGATAAAACCCTGCTATGGCTTCAGGTGCTGTGTCCCCAGTTGGTCCCTCCATGGGACCCTTATAGAGAGCATCCCTCCAGGTCACCCTCTCTCTCATCCTTCGGATGTGCTCTTGGTTCCCACCTGACAGGCTCAGAAACAGATGGCAGAGGGGGTTGGGCTGGTGGTGCTGCACGGGGGAGCAGAGAGGCACGTGAGGAAGCTGAGGGGGCAAAGAGCCTGGAGACAGCAAACAGGAACAGATGGGCTCTCTGTGACACAACAAGCTGGAAACACAGTTCCTCAGCTCTCATGCTGCAGTGGGTAGGATCCCAGCTATGTGAGAAACAGTGCTCCAAAGCCACAAGTGGGTGAGGTGGGATGGGACAGAGGCCAGGGCCAGGAAAACCTCTTGGTAAGGCAGTAAGTTTCCTGTGTCTGCCCACAGCAGCCAGCACAGCAGGCTGTCATTAGGTTCCCAGGAATTGCACCAGACGGAAGAGAAGAGCAATCCCAAGAGCAGCCCATGCGAGGGAGGGAGCTGTGCTGCATGGGTGGCAGCAAGGAGCATGGGAACCAGAGCAGCCCATCCTGGCCAGCTGGGATCCCATTTCTCCCAGCCCTGACACGGCTCTCTCACGACTAAGTGCACCACAGTTAAGTAAGCCACAGCTCTGCTACCCCATGGCGAGAAGTACCACGTCCTGCAGGCCACCACAGCTGAGATATCTGGGAGGAATCACTCAGGACATGCCTTTCTGGCCAGCAGGCATGGAGGAGATGCAGCCCCAACTCAGACATTCGCAAAGTGCCTAAATCCTGCCCTGGGCCTGTGAATTAGCCCAGGAATTACAGTCAGGTTTAAAGACAGGATCTGATTCTTTGCCTGTTTGGGGTGAAGGTATTCCTGATGATGAACTGGCACAGGGAGTCTCTGCAAAGGGTTTGATGTCACAGGGATAAGGGCAGCAGCAAGAATAGCTCAATTCCCACTACAGGCATTTCCAGCAGCCTTTCTCATTACCACTTGCTTCAAACTGACACAGAAGAGGAGGTGGTTTCTTCCACAAAGACAGCAGTTACTGCTTGGTGCTGCTGGGTGCCTGGACCAGCTGTGTTGTAAGGAGTAGTCCCAGGATTCCTGGCCACCATCAGAGAGCCCTGCCCAGCCCACCCCAGCCCAGAGGGTGGAGAGGCTGATGCTGTGCAAATGCCCATGTGATGGTCTCCACAAAACAACAGGCAAACGTGACCTGAATGCAGTGGGCACAGTCCCATGTTTGGGAAGACTAGCTCACTGTCATTGCAAAAAATGATCCCATACGGCTCCATCCTGAGCTCAATGCCATTAAACTGCTTCATGATCTGGATGAGGAATAGAGAGGATACTTATAAGATTTCTGGAAGATGCTAAACTGGAAAGTTTTCAACCACCTTGGAGTGGCTGGACTGGATGAGACTGCGGTTTTGATAAAAGAGAGAAGCTATCCAAAATCTTCAGGATGCATTTCAACCACAGCCAGAGTAAAGTACAATGCTCAGGAGAGCTGGAAAACATGAGTAAAAATGGGTCTGGGCAGAAGCACTGCAGAAAAACTTGAGGACTGCAGAGGATCACTGTGGGTAAGCCAACAGCATGACTGGACTAGAAATGATCAGCTCAACTTCAAGAGGAACAGGTTTAACTTTGACCAAGTTTCTAATGATAATGAAATACAAGCCCTGGATGAAAGTACCTTGGGAGACCAGAGGATCTCCGTGACTGGCAGTTTTTAAGGGAAGGCTGGATGACTGCCTGCCAGTCAACACTCAGGGTACCTGATCAGACAGTTACTGCACACACTTGCAGTTGCCTGTGGTGCCTCTGACCCTGCCTTTCTGTGAGCTCCAAGTGCCTGTTCATGCCTGACCCTGGGCTGTTCATAGTCCCTTGTGAGCAAGAGGGTAATATCTGGAGTTGTGGGCTCTCCCAAGGACCCCATGGTCTGACCTGATCCACAGAACAGGCCAACAATTTTGCCTGATGATTCCTGTATCAGATCTTTTAAAACCAGTGTGGTCAAGCTTTCTTTCCTTCCCCTCCCATGGCGCCATCCAGCAGGACCAACACCTGGGAGACACCAGTGGAGCAGAAGGAGGGTTTTCCAGACGCTACGCCGAGCGCTGAGCTCATCAGTTGCATGTGGCTGATCTCTGGAGGGGTTGGTGTACATAACCAGTGCTTTCCCTCGGGGCTCAGGTCAGCGTGTACTGCCCTGCCTGAGCACGCACCCATCACACCTCCCAGAGAGGCACAGGCAGCAGGGGTGTCTGTGAAGCAGGACTGACAGCCCCAAGCTGCTGCCTGCTGCTCGTTTGCTGGCTGGAAGGTCAGCACTGCCAATGTGCATTACACACTGCTGCCTAATAGCCCAGAGCAACACTGACACTGAACGATTTCTGAAGTTTATTGTCTTGAATTACCTATGACTGATGTTTTGTGGGATTACATAAGTAAAAACCCAGGAACGGATCTCCTGTAGAGGTGTCTGGATTTATAAATAGATTTATTGCTCCTCTTTGAAGTTCAGAACGTACAGTTTCTCACACGGTACAGCCTCATGCTTAAGAAGCTATCCTTGCTGGGCCAGGAGACTGTGCTGCAGTTAATTATTTGTTAACAGGTTTAAAAGCCATGCTTCATATGATGGACTATTTCAAATTAAGAACCAAGGTAACTGTGCCAAGTGTTGCTGTTCTGGCTGCACCTTCCCAAAGAGCCTTGCTGGCTCTCATGGGCTGTCCCAAACTCCCAGCACGAGCTTGGTCTAGGGAACAGAAACCTAATTCCCAGTGCTGCTCTCCAGGGTTTAGGGTTGCTCCTTTATATTACAAGAATCAACAGATGAAAGCTGAAATCTGTGGTCCAACCCAAAAACATTTAACAAATAAGGCTGAGGGTATTAACTACTCTTACAAATTACTAAAGATGATGGAAGATTGTCTTCATATTTGAAGCACTAGATTTTCAAAACTGTCTTAATAGAAAGGCCATAAAACACAGTCCTTCTCCCTCTAGTAGTACTGACACGTATCAATCAGTTGACTGCCCAAGTGTCCATCCATGAAATCAAGCATCTACTTCTGTAAGAGATACTGTCTTGGAGAAAGGCAGAAGACAGAGGGCCTGAAAGGCAGGCAGTGAAACCTTTGTTCCGCAGTAAGTCAGAACAAATGGTGATGTCAACTGTCCTTCTAGACTTCAACTTCAAACATTGGGCTGTTTGGTCCTATGGGTGCAGTCATAGGACAGGAACATGTCATTCTGGCAATTTACCCTTTCCTATTTACATACCACTTCCCCAAAAAGCTCTGCTGCAGGAAAATGCTCACTGTGAAAACTGCAGAGGCACTGAAACAGCTCTCCTGAAACGGCACCTGAAGTTGCTGAACTGTTTCAAGGCTGTAACCAAACACCATGGAAAAGCTTTACAGCTTTCTGAAGGTACATTCACATCTTAAGTACATTTATAGAAGACTTATTCTATCAGAACATCTATGAATTTTACCTTACTCTGAGCAGTGCCACAGTGGATTACCAAGGAATGTTATGTAACCAGTATCAGGGCCTGACATCCTCGACCCTCAGACTCTTCTCTAAGGCCCCAACTGCCTTTTCAGTAGATAACCCATGTTACCTACTGGCTGCTTTCTTGGTAGGTGACTTGTAAAAGTGGCCAGAACCTGCCTGACTCTTTATCTACTATGCTCACTGAATACACTGTCAACCACATAGATCTGGACT